ACTAAATCCTTTTTGAGCCACTGGGGCTCATAGGGCTGGAGCTTACTCCGTTTCTGTAGTGTGAAGCACTATTTCACAAGCCCAATCAAAAAGGCTTGCTTGGGATACTGTACAAACTTCATGTTGCTAAAAAGGGTACTGAAGTTCGGCAGTTGCTTTGTTTCCATAGAATCACTACACAGTTGCAACAGTGTGTTCACTGCAATTCTTCAACTGTGTAGCTGTCCCTTACGCAATCAGAAACGCTTCCTGGTTCAACCGACCAGTCAGCGTCGCCAAAATGAGTCGGCAATAGCGATTTTTATGGGCAACCAGGTTTAAGTATTATAGCCAAAGTGGGTTACTGGCAGCAAGAGTGAGAAGCATTAAATGTCGTCTTCAATAGCTTCAACAAAACATACTGTTAATTAACTATCCTAAAAATAAATGGTATATATCAATTACTTTATACTAGTAGAATTAATTGTGTGAGTAAGGGTGTAAGAGCAATTTGTGCAACAATTTCTGTGAGGTTCACCATCACAACAGTAAGGGAAAAGATTAAGAGGATAAAGCAATATTTTAGAGCAGAAAATAGTTATTTTGTTCATGGTTATTCCAAGTACAATAACAATAACTAGTTACAAAGTGGTTACAAATAACAGTCTGTGATTGGTCCCACAAAAAAATTTCACCACCTCAACACCAGCAAGCAGATTATTAAACATTCAATGTTAAATAGTTTTCATGATTCAACAGAGTGACTAGGTGTTAGTCACTAGTGTTTTAGTTCTGAGGCAAGTAATATAGAACCATTTGATGTCATCGTGAATGTGTCCAGACACATAATTGTATTAAAACTCTTTAGAAATTTTTGAGTTCATAGCCAAGAATTTTAACGTCTCCGATGTTCTTCTGGCTAATCAACAAGCTACTGTAAACACATGTCAGACAGTTATCGCATATTGTCGTAACAACCCATTTATCAAAGTTTAAACGTGTACACAATAATTGTATATGACACGAATGATCATCAAATTCTTGTCCTGATATGGTCACAGAATACTTGTTGTCTCAGAAATAAAACTCGGGTTAAAGGTCAGTGTATAAGAGTTGAACAAAAACATGCATTTTTCAGGGTGGATACATTTTAGATTTCCTCTTGTTTGGAACAATCCAAATCTAAATTTCAACATCCTCACTCCCTTTTAACTTTCTTTTGTGTTCAACTCCCATACTATATGTAGTGTACCACAGTTTTTAAGTAGTTCTGTAATGTAAACAAGAGACCAAATATTAACCAGTGACACCACTGTACTATACATGTAGAGTTATGATCCCTTAAAATGTTATGCTAATCAGCATGCATGTGAAGCCGTTTGTATGTTTGACGTTTCCTTGGCGTTGAACCCCAGATGAGCCAACCACACATCCAAAACCTTTGAACCTACTGTTTATCCTCCACAGCCACGAACCCATCTTGACCTCTTATAATTTCCAGTGGCATTGTTCTTAATATTGAATTAATTTCTGCTCCTTTGTAGTTATTTTTTTGTCAGGCTCTGCCAAATTCTGGAATCTTTTTAAGATAACTTGAAAACCGTTCTTTAAATTGTTTCTTGTTAGTCTTCAATCTGCTCTGCAAATATACAGTAGACTAAATCAAGTGACAGACTATAGTAGTTGGCGTAGAATCCGTTCAGACAGTCTTTTAAATCAGCACCTTTAGTAACCCATCAATCAGATAATATAATAAAGATCTAGAGTATTAATTTATACAATTTTTTTAGATTGGTGAACAGTAAGTTTACAGCCAATGATAAACTATACTAACATGGGTATGTTCAGCACCTATGAAAGTAAAAGTGGATTACAGTGGGCTTTATAGTATGATATTGACTGCTTATGAGGGCAATAGTGAAATCTGTTGCCCTGAATCTAGAGCAGTCAATATTTTTTTATATACCTCATACATAGATTCTACGAGACCTAAAAAAATATTGAAAATACTGTAGTACACATCAAGTAGGCCTAGGCTTACTTCCTAGGCCTAGCCGATCAAAGGGCCAATCTCTCTTGAGCATCATAGAGGCCGCGTCTCCTTTATCGTTCGTGCGTGTCATAAATTACATAGTAACATGGCCTAGAGATTGCACATCGTGCGTAAGGGTAAAGGAGTACTATCATTTAGGGTGATAGTACTTTCTATTGCCTGCATCTTAACCAATCAGATGCCTAGAACCTACATGTATGCAGTATATAATACCACATATACCCAGTTATTAAAATGTATTATGGTTTGCTATCAAATAATTACAGTTATAATAATTACAGTACTATAATAATTACAGTACTGTAGGCACAGCCTACAGTACAATATGCCCAGTAGAGTAAAGGGTGACTTCTTAAGCCCAACATGTTTAATTTATTTATTTTATCTTTTATTTACATACTACCTTTCAGATTTTAAATGGCTTTTATTTCCCAGGTTTTGTTAGATTCGCATGCTACCGTGATCAAAACAGAAGCAGTCTTCTCCTGAGTTAAAAGAAGAAGCAGTGAAGATAAACAGTATGTTGCTCAACCGAACAAAAGAAATGCATAGGGAGGGAACGAAACACCGTGAAGTCAAGGTTGGAAAACCCAACCATAATATTGTGTCTGTGATAGCATAGGCCTACTCCCATGTTTTTCATTGTGTTGAATTGGTCATTTCGGGTGGACTTGATTTCCAAGTGCTTGGCAGTGTACAAGTGGAGAGTACAGCACTGTATGTCAGATTCCTTCACTTTCAGCCATGACATCACCAAACACCTACGAACGTCATGATCATTGGTGTATGACAATTTTCAGTCAGTACATAAGCAATTGTGATACATCATGAAATGTTCTGAGTATGAACTTTTTGCTAAATGTTTGGTTTTTACAAAAAATAACTTTCAAGATACAGCTCTCCCTCCAATTAAAGACCTGTAGCAGGTTCTGTCCCTTATTGGAATAATAAAGATAAATGACATGTTAATTTGGGACCACAGACAAGTGGTATTTAATTAGAAGGAGACTTGTATAATTAAAAAAAAAAGGTTTGGAAAATAACACAAGATATCTTGTGTGTGAAACATTCGGGCCTACTGTATTTTCGTGTCTTAACGTTCACATCATACCAGCTAAATAATAATAATAATAATAAGATTTATTAAGCGCACATCTCCACTAAACCATGAAAAAGCTTATCCTTTTAAACTAAAGGCTACCAGAAAAACGACCATAACCCACATCACTGCTTCCGTTTACCAGCAATTTAAGGTGCAAAGACCGGCTAGTACATAACTCACAGGTGTTCTCAGTTTTGTGGGCATCTAACTAAACAAATTAAAGAACAAAACAAAAAAAAAATCAATTCACCATAAATTAATTTCCTTGAGCAACAAAAAAAAGATGTGTTTTCAGAGCACGTTTGAACAAAGCAGTCGACGAACTTGATCTTATTTCAAGGGGTAATCTGTTCCACAAACGGGGGGCCGCAACTACAAAAGATCAGTCACCCCATGACCTCATGGACCTGGGCTCAACCAGCAATCGTCTATCACCTGAACGAAGATTTAATATATATACATATTCACCTCCCAACAGGTAGCGAGACTTTTTTTATTCCTTGTTTCGCGTACTCATTTTTTTGAAGATCATCGGAAGAGGGCGGAATAAAAATAAAATTTTGTTTTCTTATTTAGCA